ATTCATGCGAATCACATTTTTTTTTTGAAAAGTGTACTTTTAATGCCCTGTATATTTTTTACTACAGCTACAACATAATGCAGAACTGGTCTAGTTCTGTTAACATTTAAATAAAATTAACTCTGAAATCCGAGTTTTTACAATTCGTCAGATGAAATAATGACAATCACTTGTTTTAGAATGTCAAACAATCTGTCAGCTGTATGAAATTAAATATTTTGACAAAGTGTCTATCGTCAGTGACAAACGAGTTGGTTGGGAACGCCGAATGAAGAGGTTCACGTTAGCAACAACTAATTAGAACTACCTCCGAATCGCAACAGCATTAGTCACGAGGCAGGATTAAGCAAAAAGACAAAATGGTACCCACAATCATTTCGTTTCGCGTTATCTTTAGTCAGTTTCGTATGTCTCGGAATGTCTGGTTTGGTTTGGTTTGGTTTTATGGCATATCAAACTTAATGGGTTATTTAATGCCGACAAGTTTGTTTTTTTTTCATTGCTGGTAAAATTTTTGGTTTTCTTTTTTTCTCAAAAAATGGATTGCTGGTAATAATTTTTTTCTTCAAAAATTCGTTGCTGGTAATAATTTTTTACAGAAATATATTGCTGACATTAAAACTTATTTTTACACTTTCATAGTGTTTTGATCCCTGTAGCGGACCGTTGGGTGATGAAGTGAGTATGTATTGTAGAAGAACACATATGGGTAGAATTTCCTGCTAGCCGGTCCAACTACATGAGAAAGTTGGACTTTAATTAAGTCCAAAGAAAATAAAGAAAACAAAAAAGCGATAAATATATGTAAACAAATATATATATTAATAACAAGTACAAGTTACAAGCACATGGACAGTTACATGGATAGAGTGCGTGTGGTGAATATTATGTGTGTGTGTTGTGGTGAGTGTTCGTACGTACGTGTATTGTTCTTAGCGTGTTCCTAGAATTTGGGAAACGCTGTATCTGTGAGAGCTCACATCTGCGAGGTGGTATAAGGCTGAAGGCCTGAGGAAAAAAGAGATCGAGGCGAAGGCTCAGCCAGTATTTATAGCCAGGGGAAAGAGACGCCTGGTGAAGGGTTAAGGAGCTGAGGAGGAGCTAACTCCGACATCCCAGTTTTAGTTTATCGTCTTACCCAGTACGCGGATGTAGCTTATCGTCTTACCCAGGACGGTCGGTATGTCTGTCTCAACCTTATTGCCTTTTAATTTTTTTTCAGAGGAGGAGGTCTTTTGGTTCCACTACACTGTATACATCCGCTTTTTCAAAATAGTTAAACAACATGTCTTCGGGCGAGTGGAACCTGCGGATCATGGCGAACTCAAACTTTTTCGAAAATTGTGCTATAGAATCAGACAAAGAACTGTACCAAATAATAGAAACTACATCACTTGAGAACTTTTAACAGCAGCAACAGCTGAAATAGATACCACATGTAATTCGGAGAGAAAATAACAACATAAGATGTTGATGTTCCACATTACTTCAAACAAAAGTCTAGGAAGGAAACCCCCATCAACACTGGAAAGAGCGATAACACCTACTGGACCTGAGAAACATATTTTCCTGATAAATTGTTTCAAAAGAAAGATTTTATAAATTTCAACAGACACTAGTGCTGCCGGCTCAGTTAATGAATGCCAGATGTTTCCTTATAAGGAAACGGCTTAGAGAATCCAAATTCAACATTAATCCAATACCCAAAATAGTTGGGTCAAATCTGTGCAAAAAGTGGATCACAGAACACTTTCAACTTCATACACTTTCAAAAAAAATCTCTAGCTCTGATTGGTTAATAAATATACAAGCAGGCGTGACTATCCACCCACGCTTAACTAATTTTTACTACAGCTCATGACTGAAATCCAAGTTCGCGCCAAGTCTCTGTGAGCCACTCGTAGCAAATAAAAACAGAAACTCATTCACACTCGCCAGTGAGAATTGTGACATCAATCGAATTGCAACTGTCAGAGTTAACTCCTCCTTCACTCCGTTAACCCTTTCACAAGGGGTCTCTCTTCCCTGGCTATAAATAGCCGTTGACTTTTTGCCTCTATCTCTTTTTCCTTCAGGCCTGTGCACTGACACCTTGAGGTAAACTCTCTTTTCCCTTCAGGATTTCAGCTATCAACCTCGAAATGTAATCGCTAACAAGGGATAGCGTGGAAACACGCTAAGCACAATATTCACACACGCACGCACATACAGAATATTCACATTATTTACGCACATACAGAATATTCACACACACTTCGTCCTTTGTACTGTTTCCATGTATTGTAACTTGTTATTAATATATATTTGTATATACATATATTATCGGTCTTGTTTTGTTTGCTTTCTTTACCTTCTACTTGATTATTTCTCTTGTTGTTGTCTTTGTTACATTTGATATTGTAAAAATTGTAGAGGGTCAGTTTTTATTTCTATTTATAACCAATACAAAAAGGCGACCCCACTATAAATTGGTGACCCCGAAGTTCAAATGTGCAAAGCAATATTTTAAAAACAGCATTTTATAAGAGAAATACTTTAGTTGTCACGTTTTAAACGAAAACAATGGAAAATTCTACCAGCGAACATATTGAAGCGGTAATTTCCATCAGTCTACCGACGTGATTTTTCAACTCCTGCTAAAAACACACAAGACGATATGTACAAAAACAAACAATTTCTTATACACACACCTTCCCAAAAAGAGAACCAAATAATGAAAATGTTAAAAAAACTTCTTCTCGAATCCTACGCACGCCGTACACTAGAACAACAATTACTACTATTCAAGGCGAACCTGAGAACTCTTCCCCCACTGGTCTATATTTGCTTGACCCTTTCTTTCTCTCGGCGACGTTTGACCCAATTTCGCCCAGCACACATGCTTAAGGCTGTATTCGAAAAACAACGCCATTTTCTAATAACCAACACTATCCTCTTCTGGACTGAAACAGATAAAGTGTAAACCCAAACCACTAAAGGCGAACCACTGTCCTTTATTCTCAAACAACTGGTGATTCCGACATGGAAAAGCGACACAAAGTTTCATTGGAATGATTCTACAACTTTCTCTGGACGACTCACTGTTCCATTACGATGCGACATCACTGAGGATTTGCATGCACGTAATTCGTCGCTATTAATCTTGCAAATTCCGTTCTCTTTTCAACACATGCTACTGGTCATAGCATTTCGCATCTTCTTCCATTCTGAAACTCAAAAAAAAAAAAAATTCATTTTTCCCTACACCACGTGGCGACATCTTCACGCCACCGCTTGCTTTTCATGCTTCAAACCTTCTTTTCGGACGACTCACTGTTTTTACAAGAACAAAAACGATTAAACCCTGACGACAACACACTTTTCGTCGAATCATGCATCTCAACCACACTTCTGACACATTTTCTTTTTCAGCTCAAAAGAACAATATTCAAACTTTCACGAACCTTTTTCTTTATATATTAAAAGTTTTCATTTCCTTAAAACTTTTAATCTGGTAGGGGGAATTGTCGGAGTTAACTCCTCCTTCACTCCGTTAACCCTTTCACCAGGGGTCTCTCTTCCCTGGCTATAAATAGCTGCTGACTTTTTGCCTCTATCTCTTTTTCCTTCAGGCCTGTGTACTGACACCTTTAGGTAAACTCTCTTTTCCCTTCAGGATTTCAGCTACCAACTCGAAATGTAGTCGCTAACAAGGGATAGCGTGGAAACATGCTAAGCACAATATTCACACACGCACGCACATACAGAATATTCACACACGCACGCACATACAGAATATTCACACACACTTCGTCCTTTGTACTGTTTCCATGTATTGTAACTTGTTATTAATATATATTTGTATATACATATATTATCAGTCTTGTTTTGTTTGCTTTCTTTACCTTCTACTTGATTATTTCTCTTGTTGTCTTTGTTACATTTGATATTTGTTGAAGCTTGGATAAGCATGGAATAATAATAATACAACACAAAATGTACGTAAACAAAATGTATTGAAACAAGGAAAAGGTACACAATATTTACAGTTAGTTTTGGTATATTCTTGGGAAGACTGTTCCTGTAGAATGGGTTGACTTAATCGCAGTCGGGCAGAGTCTCTGGATTGGATCTCTTCTTACTTCTCTCCTCGTCTTCCCGGTACCAACCCATATTTATATGGTCGGTACCCCACTATGTAAATTAGGTGGATCGTACCACAACAATATTGTAAAAATTGTAGAGGGTCAGTTTTTATTTCTATTTATAACCAATACAAATTGGCTGACCCACTATACAACTAAACTTCACGTCACACAATTTTAAGTTTTTCGTTCATACGAACATTATATAACTTAACAATATTGACACTCACTTATCAAAACAATCAAAGATAAATAACTTCTTTGATCACAAATTACATTCAACTTTATAAACATTTACTACTTACATCAACAGTAAAAAAATTTCTCTTGCAATTAATTTACGGAATCTTCAATAACAGATTCTAACAACCTTTCGAATTAGAACTCATTAACAAAATGTAGTAATCTTTCATCAAACTTGAGTTCAATGTAAATTAACAAGATTTCACCTTAAAAAATCGACTATATTTTGTAAAAAAATATTTTCATTACAAAAATACATTGAAAATTAGTTGTTATTCAAATATTTGTCTTTTGTCTTCAATCACAAACGTTTCTTGTTGTTTCCTCTTGTTTTTTTTTTTTTTGCTTAACATATTTGTAGAGTAAAAATTGTATGGATTGATTTGGGCCGTCAACACCATTAAATAAAAATGGTAACCAGCAAACTTTCCACTACAGGCTTATATTACCTGACCATTAATGCTTGCTTCTGAAAGTAAATAGCACGGATAATCATGAACTTGCTAAAAGACAATGTCAACTAAGAGAATTGAATGGAAGGCAGGATATGGAAGAAGGCGTGTGGTATACAGTCAAACACTGACTACAGATACAAAGGATAGGAAACCGTGGAGGGCGATAATCATTAACACGCTAAAAGGCAAAGTCACTCACGAGAATTGAACATATGACAGAATAGGGACAAAAGTGAACAGTAAAGTCCCAAACACTGCTTACAGCTACAAAGGATAGATAGATAGATAGATAGATAGATAGATAGATATGAACAGAATGAGATAGATAGATAGATAGATAGATAGATATGAACAGAATGAGATAGATAGATAGATAGATAGATAGATATGAACAGAATGAGATAGATAGATAGATAGATAGATAGATAGATAGATATGAACAGAATGAGATATGTAATAGATAGATATTCAAGAATGAGATAGATAGATAGATAGATAGATAGATATGAACAGAATGAGATAGATAGATAGATAGATAAGAACAGAATGAGATAGATAGATAGATAAGAACAGAATGAGATAGATAGATAGATAGATAGATAGATAGATATGAACAGAATGAGATAGATAGATAGATAGATAGATAGATAGAAGGTGCGATGGTAAATTGTCGGCTAAATTATGCAAAAATGAAAATAACACACATTTTAACAGATATATTTACCAAAATTACACAAAAATACCTTGAAATACTAAAGAATCAATTTATTCAATAAAATAGTCACTTCTTTTCTCTTTCTGAAATCTTTATAATTCTTCTTTTCTTTTCTCCTTTTTTTTTTTTTTTTGCTGCCATAATCCTTACCTTCAGTTCATTTTTGTTGTTACAAGGAGGTTTGTCGGTCTCTTGCTAAACTGCATCCCACACATAATAACCTAGTGGTTTGCAGTCTAGGGAGTTAGGTGGCCAGATGTAAAAGGTAATGTGGTCGCAGAAATTGTCTGACAGCCATAACTGTGTTCTCCTGCTTGTGTCGCATGGTGCAGGGTCCTGTTGCCAGACATAGGGTCTTCCAGCAGCCACCCTCTTGACCCAGGGCAGCACTGCCTTCTCAAGGCACTTGATGTAGGTCTCCGTATTGAGTCTGAGACCCTCATCAACAAATTCGGCAGGTCTTTTCTTATCAGAACGATCAGTGTGAGTTTTTCTGAGCTGACATACCTTCATAATTCACCATTAGACTCATTCAACTCTTTTCCAAATCCTTCTGTATTGCCTCAGATTGACATCCAAACACTTTGAAATGTTTCGTATTGGAGCTTCCGGAGCGAATGCCAAAGAGTACACCGTTTCCAACTTTCTGGCGGAGCAATTTGCGTTATAGTCCTCTTTTTCTCACAAACGGTGTCCAACGACCTTGCTATATTTTGCAGTCAAAAATCAAAACAAACAAAAATATTCCATGCATTTTGCTAAAATATAAAATGACGACAATTTACCCATCGCAACCTGCAAATAGATTAGAACAGACTGGGATGGATGGATAGATTTTTAAAATCAAACACTTAAGATTTATTTTTTATTAAAATGCAAATGAGAGGATTTTAATTTTTCTGGTTCTTCTGCAGATCAAAGACAGATATAGATTTTAGCATTAAATAAAACAATATGGATTTAAAAAAAAAATTTATTAAATAAATTTTATTTATTCATTAATTTCAGATTCAATCTATTAATTTGTTTCCATTCTTTAATTTCAAACATAAATTTTATTAATTGCACAGACTCTGCTCAAATTGGAATTGGAACTACTACTTAATATTTAACTGATTCTTTTTCTGGCTTAAAAAAGAAATTTTCTAGAATTCATTTTCCAAATTCGTAATATGGTTTTTATATATATATATATATATATTCCGCATCTCTATTTATATAGATGTTAAATATGGCTAAAAAATTTAATTTTGTTGTTGTTTTCAATATATATATATATATATATATATATATATATTTCAAAATGTGTGTCTCAGAGAGAAATAGTATTAATCTTGCATTTAGGACAAGGGTTTTGTATTTTCCCGTTAAAAAACTTGCTAAATATATTTATGAAAGAGATCCCAACTTAGGTAAAATAAAGAATATAATTTTTTTTTTTGGACTGAAGATTTTTAAAAAATTTATTTCATCTAACTGATTTCAATTAGGTAAAACAAAAATCTAAACATATATAAAAATATAGCATACATTGTAAAAAAGCCCCAAACTTAATAATAACACATGTTTTTTTACCATTTTGTAATTTTTTAATATTTTAACTAAGGAAATATACCAAATTTTTTTTTTTATTAAATTATACTTTTGATCCTTTTTTGGAACTTCAAAATTTTTAAAAAAAGTTTGACTTTTATTTCTGAACGGATTTACCATAAAAAGAATTTTTTAAATTTCAGCGTCATTCAAAAAATAGAAAATACAATAATTTTGGAAATTCTTTCAAAATATGAGAATTGTCCCTGATTTTAAAAAATTAAATGTTGCAAATCTATATTTTAAAAATTAAATTATTTTAAAAAAAATTTTTTTAAAGTTAGTTTGTAAAAATATCTTTCTATATCCGGGTTATCCACCATGGAACACATTTATAGGCTTTTTAATTATTACAGTTGTGAACTCACTGTTTAAATGAAGGTCCGGTGAAAATCTCTAAAATTGTTAAAATGTATAATTTGCACAGACCCTGCAGGTAATTCATTGGTTAATACTTTATAGAAAATGAGAAAAAAATTTAAAAATGTTTGGGGGATAATTGAAGAAATTAAAAAAAACTTAATATTAAAACAAAAATAGTTTAATGACTGATGTTGCATTTTTAGGTTTTTACAATGATTTGTAGTTATCAATTATAAAACAGATAGGAAAAAAGTTCCAAACAGAAAGTAAAAATTAAAAGAAACTGTTAGAAGGGCGGTTGAAATTTAACTATTTCAACAGTAAAAATTTGGGACCTAGATGCCAATCTAGTAGTACATTAAATTCATGTACTCATGGCACAAGGGAAAAATGCTCATCAGTGCAGTAGCCATGAAAATATTTGTAGAAAAACACAGAGGAAGCCACATCACGTCTGTGAAAAAAAGCTGAGGTCAAAAAAATTAATTTAAAATGTAACAATTATACATTTACAATATCCTATTTTAGATTTTTTTTGAGAATATTAATAAAAAGAAGGTTAAGGAAAAATTTTAAACAAAAATAAAACTTTAACTGATTACCAACTAATAAAAACAAAGAAATTATGAATCTTGAGATTTGTTAAATTTTTAAATCATTGAATTAATTTAATAGTAATAAAAAAACTTATATATAATATATTTAAAAAAAAAAATAATAATAGTAAAAAATCTAAATTGATACAAAACATATTAATTTTACATATATTTATATAAATTCTTTAATTAATTTAACCTAATTTTTTTTATTTGTGTTTGATGCATGGAAATAAATGTCTATTTTAAGATTATATAATCTTATTTTTTTTTAATTTAAGTAAAAATTTTCAATTTTATAATAAATTTTCCTAAATTTAATGTACTTAATTATTTTAAATTTTCTTCCAGGCATATTTTGAATCTGTTTATATATATATATATATATATATATATATATATATATATGAATTTTATCAAATATAGATAATTTGCAGTTAAAAATGATTGGGAAATAAATCTTTCAAATAGGAAATCTTTATAAATCTGATTTTTAATGAGTTCTCCAATGTTATAATTTTATTCTGACTTGCTTATTTAAATATAATTATTAAAAACATTAAAACAAAATATATAAAATAAAATAGGGTACAATTAAAAATTTCATCTAATAAAATAATTAGAAAGTAAGTAAAATAAATTTCTACCACAATCAAATTTCAAGCTCTCCCTACCAACAGCTAAAATAATAAAAAAACTACTGTGGTAACGGCCTATATATATATATATATATATATATAAATAAATATATTAAACAAGCATTGTGAATCTTCTTTGAGAAAATCTTTGGCTGCAAATAATATCCCAGGAATAGCATATATTTTCCTTTTCATGAAATCAGCTCAATGATTTTTTTGTTTTCTGTTTTTTAGCTAGCATGCTAAATATGCAAAAAAAATCTGGATTGTATTTTTCTTTCACAAATCTTGAAAAAAAATGCCTGAATCAATTATATTGCACTTTATTCCAATTGTTTACATCAGAGCATTCAAACTCAACGTTGATTCTGATTCCGCAGAACTGGGTTGGTTTTAAATAAAGTTATATTTGTTAGCCTTACATTATAAATCATTCTAGGAATCAGTTAATATCCTTTTTAAAGTCTGATCGTTTTTCTGTTCATTTTGTTTAGTTCTTTTTCGTTTTTCACTTTCATTTAATGACATTAAGGCATTAGTATACACTTTTTTTTTAATCAGTCATAAAAAAATTCAATTCCTTGCATGTTGGAAAAATAGAAATGCAACATTATTTGCAATAACAAAAAGGGGCACAAAAAAGGAAGATCAAAGGATAATAAAATTATGTCCAATTTTTTTAATTGAATTGTATTTGTTGGTATGAAACAGTAAGGTTTTTTGCAATTACAACCAAAAACCAAAAAAAAAAGGGATTGCTAATAAATTCTTTTTTGCGGAATATCAAAATCACTATATATATATATATATATATATATATATATATATCATTCATTCTGGAAATATATATTCGCAATTTTAAAACACTTCTAATTATAAAAAATACAGTTTGTTTTCAACTCTAATATAATTGTTTCCATTCATTGATTTCAAAGAGAAATTCTATTCATGTATCCGAAACTCCGTGAAATTCATGGAAAAAAATCAAAGATGAAATAAAAAAAATTTTTTGAATTTGAAATTCTTGAAATCTGTAAATTTATTCACCAAGGTATAATAAAAAAATTTCTCTCAGTAAAAATCTATTAGATTTTCTGACTCATCCCTAGAAGAATGGATCAGTATTCCAATCAATAATCTGATGGAATGATGACTTTCTGTTTTAAAAACAACACAATTTGGAATGGGATCACATGTATATCGACAGGATGAGGGCTTAGCAATGTCACTCGCCATTATCACCAACAATGGCGAATATATACATGGAATACTTTGAGGAAATGGCATTAGAATCTATATCTCTAAAGCCAACTCTGTGGTTAAAAAACGTAGATGACACCTTCATACTCTGGCCACACCAGGAAGATGTTCAGGTTCTACTGGACCATGTGAACTCAAGAAGACCTTCAATATAGTTCACGATGGAGAAAGAGAGTAACAGCACACTCCCATTCCTGGATGTTCTAATATCTCGAACAGAGAATGGGTTCAAGACATCCGTATACCGTAAACCGACATTTACCGGACAGTACCTCAATTTCAACTGCCACCATCCATACAGCGTAAAGAAAGGGATCGTCCGCTGCTTACAACACCGAACAAAAGTAATAAGTGGCGATCCAGACACATTAGATAAAGAATTGGTCAGTATAAGTAGTAAAACTCAACGTAACAACTACCCTGGGTAACATTGCAAAAGCCCCCCTGTGGTGGAAAAATGGGATAGGCGGTACAAGAGGAGGACAACAACACTCAGAAAACAGTCTGCCTGCCTTATGTGAAGGGGTTATCAGAAAAAATACAAAGGATCTGCGGTCCATATAACATCAGGACAACCTTCAAAAGCTTGACGACACTTCGCAGATATCTCTCCCGAGTAAGACCCCCCATAGACGAGAACATGACTAAAGACTGTGTGTACGCTATCCCGTGCAGCTGCGGAAAGAAATATAAAGGGGAGACAGGCCGCCCCCTTAAGGTAAGGCTTCAAGAACACCAGAAAGCTGTAACACGAGGGGAAGTGGAAAAATCAGGCGTGGCTGACCACATATGGAGAGAGAAGGGAGATCACTGCCCTCTGTGGGATCAGGTTGAGATCATAGACAAAGAACACCATTGGAAAATTCGTAAACTTAAGGAATCAGCACATATGCTAGGCCACAAAAATCTCCTGAGCCGACCAAGCATAGAAATAAATACAATATGGGAACCAGTAATAAGGAGTGCCAGAGAAAAAGCGATAATAACTGCAAAAAATTGCAATATGAGCACTGGTAAAAATGGTTCCTGAAAACATTAGGTTTATAATACACAGAAATTCATACCCAGATGTCCTCAACACATAGCACAGTGGATAAAGGCGTTGGTTAGATCCAGTGGCAGGACCCAAAGAGTGTGAGTTCAATGCAAGGTTCAGGCAGTGGAGAGCTTTCAGAGGGAAATTAACAGGAGATAACTGATAACTGACACCCATTAAACATGGCACCTCAGTGAGCGAAATAAAGGGTTCACTTCAACATTCCAACCACCCGAAGAAGGCCGGATCGAAACGTTGTAATAAATTTGGCGACAAAGATAAGGACAATAGTCCGAATAATGTAAATAATATAGATTATATTATTTGCAAACTCTCTGCGAGGAATGGATTCGGTACTACAGTGTACCCCGAATATAAGAGACCCTGATATAAGAGAAACCCGGATATAAGAGAGATTTTTTCTGGTCCCAAATTAGAGCCTGTGTTAATGTATATAAAATAGACCAAACCTGGATATAAGAGAAACCCGGATATAAGAGACTTCTTCTCCGGTCCCGACAACTCTCTTATATCCGGGTTACACTGTACTTAATAAGAGTTAGGCGAAACTTTGAAGTCGGTCATTGAGATAACTCCCTTGAACATTTTCTCATTATTAGTTTATACGTTAGTTTTAGAGTATATAAATATTCATCATCACAACTTCAATGCGAAATTTAGCTATATATATATATATATATATACACACACACAAGTGTACACACTTGTGTGTGTATGTGCGTATGCGTGCACTTAAGTTGCATACATCAGGGAATACGTTGGATCTTTTCGTTTAAAAGAATCAATGTATCTGACAGATGCCTGCTCGCATGTCTAGGACAATTTGACGCTTGAATTGAAAAACTGGAAAACTGACTTACCTAAGACACTTGTGAACGCACTAAACAGATGATCCGATGAATATCCGTGGAAGTTTTTTTGTAGGTAAAATTGAGCATTGCCAATAACAAAAACCGTTGGTAAAGAAAGTCCCTCCAATTATCATATAGCAGAAAAAGCTGGCCACAAAGACGACCCAGGCATAGCCTGAGTCCATTATTTCACTCTGGGCCATATCGTTATGTGTTGTTAACGATGTCGCACAGCTATAAAAATAATAAAAAAAATATACGGCTGTTAAAGCGATATACGAATATGCAAATGAATGTCGACTGAAATTGGGGTGAAAAAGAGGCTGGCCTACTTTTTTGTTTTCAACTGGACGATAACAAAGGGTAAAAAAAAGCAGAAAAAACGATAGAAAAACTTTGTCTTCAATACGCAACAGCAAAAAAAAAATCTTAAATCCGAAAGAAAATGAATCTAAAGAGAATAAAATTAACCACGAGGATAATAATATATTCTGGACCGGGGCAAGGCACCCGAGACCCCAAACCCGAATCTCTGATATGGAGACTATCCCACCCACCACTACTACATTTTCAATAATTTTTTTTACTTTTCATATAATATACAAATTTTATTGTGACTTAATTATGTACAATAATTGATCATATGCAGTATAGGTGAACAATTTAATCAGAAAAATTGA